ATTAAAAAATTCGGTTTTATTTATTTTATTTTAATTCTTCGAAACAAAAGATAATGTAATATTTCTATTCAACGTATTCTTTATGAATATTTGATTTTGAAGACCAATTCCATAATATATTTAAGAGATCTGTTTGGTATCTATTGATAAAAAAGTCTGATTGACTTTCAGCGTAACGCATTAAAATGAACAATGGTATTTTAATGATGACCATGGATACATATGAAGCATGATATTCACGGCAAAAATTGGTGTCTATACATAGTGAACAATATAAATGAGAATAAAATAAGGCTTGTGGAACCAATGAAGCTTCGATTAACCAATGAAGAAAGTCGAAATATTTTATTTCTGCTTTCAATACAATAATCATAGCTGAATATTTATCTAGATCAGATATGTCCAACCAATAACTATCTATGATATCAATTATACGGCTCCAATAACGAGAAAAGAATACTGTCATTATGAGATATAACAAAATAAGAAAATACATAATTGAATATTCAACTAAACGTGTAATCATAAAATGAATGATAAGCCAAATTTTTATATTAGAAACACACGATAATTGTTCATATTCTGTTGATAATAAATGATTTGGTAATAAGAGAATGGTTTCATTAATCGTTAACATTATATTCATAATAACAAAATATATTATCTTTAGGAATAATTCTATTTATATAAAAAATGTTATTCTTAAATCCTATTTTATTTTTCTATCTTCATTCAATAATAGGCTGAACATAGACAAAAAAATCATTCACTAATGTGTGGTTTCAATGAAAAACAATGATTAGATACATTCAGCCGTTGACTGTTCTCTTTATTTGTAAGAACATCAGAAATTCAATTGTTAATATAACTTTTATTATCATCTAATGATTAGTCTTTTTTTATTGAAAAAAAGAAAAATAATCATAAATAAATATACTCATATACATACATATATCATGACAAATCCTAATGCAAGAAATGAAGCAATTGCCCATGTGTGAATTATATATATAATTTTTTTGATTATGTGTTGTTTATTTGTGACGCTCTGAAGCGCTTACAGAAAGGGGAGAGATACAATAAATAGACATTGAGAAAGAAAAACAGGAGTAGTGAGGAGAGGAGAGAACATGTAGTTGTTAATTACAAATACTTTCTATTCACAATCAGATGAAGATTTTTACATATGAACGATTAAGAAAACTGCAGGTTATTTATTACATTATAGGAGAGATGAAAAGATAAAAAAGAGGAGGAGGTCAGTTGTCTTCGACAAATTGACTCCATATACCTAGTATAACGATTTATGTCTTGAAATCAAGTTTTTCACTCTTTTACTCTGGAAGTAGTACCCTAGTCCATCATTTTTATTTTTCTTAAAATCATTCCAAAAGGTGATATCCTCTAAGAAGAGTGACAGAGCCAGGTCCGTCTTATATATCTTTTTGAGTCTATTTAAGACATAGTTTTTCACGTATTTATCTAGTTCTTTGTGACGTGTAAATGTAGACAAATCTTGCGCTCCTATCCATGGGCATCGGTGAACTAACCTTAGTCCAGCTTTAAATTCATCCGTAGCAACTCTTGTTGTGTATTAGGAAAGAAGGGGAAGAGACAAAAAAGCCACAAGAAAAAAAGGAGAGGAATAGGTAAAGAAGCATTGTCTCAGTACTTCTGTGAAGATATTTTTGCTGCGCTTCTGCCATTTCAGTTTTATATACGACTGCTGAACCTTTTCATGACAGGTAGCTATCGATTTATGCATTGAGAATTTATTCGTTCAGTTATATCCAAGATATTTAAAATCTTGAACAAAATCTGGAGGAATATTATTCATTTTTATCTCCAGGCGACGGATACTAATCCGGGAGTGGGAAGCCTGAAAGACTGATTTCGATATGTTAATTGGCTGTTTCCATCTTTTCGCATATTGAAACAGCTCGTTACAGACTTTAGTGCCCTCTTTCTCTAGGATCTGTAGCATGGGTTCTAATTTCTTTTCAATGGGAGGTCTAATTAGAACGCTTAGATCATCTGCAAAAATGTGGGTGGAAAGAATTATATAAACAGCATGTCTAACTTCAAATAATAATCGATAAGTTTCGGTTTCATTCTTCGGCACTTTAAACATACGTGGTGCCATTTCTCGTAAACATGGATGAATATTGTCCATAATTACTATTCGAATTCCATTGAATAATTATCTTACAGGAAAAAATGTCATCGATTCAAATAATATCGAGTTTGTTGAGGTTAGAAAATAAAACGATATCATTAATTTTATTTGATAATTAAAATTGTTTCGATTAATAAAATCTATTTTCAAACTTATTGCTTTTATCATATGCACACGCTGATTTTGATTTTTTCTTAAATGTTTTACACCATTGCTTCCAATCTGATATAAAAATAATAAAAATCACGTTGAGTAAGAAGATGAGAAAGCGATATATGAATTGCATGTGTGTATAAATAAATTTGAGTACTTCATAATAATAATCCTGAAATACTTAGAAAATTAACCTAAGTTAAACAATTCTTTTGACGCACCATTTTATCTCTTTATACAATAACAAACCGAATGATGGAAGAAAGAAGAATTAGTGAGTATATATTCATTCAGTTCGATATATATAGAAATAAGCAGCATGAATTGCCTCGATTAGTATTATTAGATAAAAACACGACGTGATTGTTTGTTAAATTATAGAGGTAATCCATATGCTGCTTAGTTTTTCCATATCAAATAGAACGAACAATAAGTCGTTCAAGTCTAATTCCGAGAATAATTCTCTAGATGTATAATTTAATGATTGCATAGATAGTAAGATAATTTTTAGCTCAATCACTGATTCGGTTCGAAATCATTTGCTTAAATCAATAAAAAAACAATTTGTCTTTTATTATCAACCTTAGATTTTTTTTATCATGTTCAGTTTTTGGATCTTAATGTGTTATTTTCAATATACTCGTTAGGTTTATCTAAATTTATTTAAGTTCGTAGAAGACAAAAAGAATTATTTTTTTTTAAATAATCCATATACTTTATCAAGTAATTTTATTGTTGATTTATAAATTTAGAATAATGGTGCTGAAATGAAAAGACATTGAAATTCAATATAGTATTTAATTGATTTTTCCTGAATCTGTATAATTGTAGACGAGTATAATTAAGATACTGAACGTTAATAAATAATATTAAACGCTGGTGGTAACTGACTTTTCCTACAATATTTATTGACAGTTATAAAGAGTTGATAACGTCATAAATTATACGATCGTTTTTTGAACAGTTTGAATATATAGTAACACTAAACAATAATAAGAGAAAAACAATATGAATAGCTAAAGTCGTACTTAAATAAAGCAGTAAGAACTTTCAGACGAAGAATATTAGTAATAGCAACACAATCATAGCCATATTCAAATATGAGTCGATAGCAGCTACATGAAAATTAAAAAAATAAATGAGACAAAATATTGATCCAATTGAACGATATTTATTATTTGCTTTTCAGAGAACAAGTTTCTGAATTCCTTAATTCATCTAATTGAAAATGATTAATTTGAAAAATGATATCAGACATAATTAATATCTTACATTTATTTTCATATTGACTTAAATTTTCAATATATATAAAGATGAATGTCGATGTTTTATATTATAAATACATATAAAACCCATTGTCTAATACGTTCTCCATTAATATTCTATCGTTGTCATTGATCAATTGATGATATGAAAGTAATATTTTATTAGATATTTTTGTTGACTTTAAGAGATAGCAGCACTGCATACTATTTCAGTATTAAGAGTGTGAGTTTATTTGTTAAGCACTTAACCTACACCCACAAGATGTTCGCTTACTTTTCATCAAAGTTATGTATAAGAATCGTTTTATTGCAAATAAATATTAATGAATGAAAATATGACGAAGTAATTGAAGTATTTTTCGTGTCTAATGAGACTTAATTCTTAGTTTAATAAATATTTAAATATCTTTTTTTTTAAATTAATTGATAGATTGTATTTGATGATATAGATCAATAGTTTTTATCCTTGAGCTTGTCGTCACGATTATTTTTATTCAAAGTAAATAAAAAGAACGGTTTATACAATCGCAATATGGTAATTAGAAAAAAAAAATCATGCTGATTCATGGACTGTTAATAATTATGTGTGACAACTCATTTCGAAAGCGATAAAAACACATGTTTTTATTTTTCTTCTTTTCGGTATATTATTCTTAATAAAGTTGTGTGAAGTGCTTTTTATATGATTCTTTAAATGTGTTTTTCTCTTTATTTTTCATTTAATCAAAAAACCGAATAAGTGAAACAAATCGTAATAATATGAATATCACAAGTGTTTCGAACGATGCTCATGAAATATTATTAGAAGATAAAACTAATGTTAAATCTCATATTAATGCAAGTCAAGATATGAACAATGACGATTTAGAAAAAAATATTAAACGAAATAATCAGGTAAGAAAACGAATGAAGAAGAAGAAGAAAAAAAACTAATCTATTTTAGAAATCAAATATTTATATTAATGATCGACGAATAATCATTCTAATTATCATTCTTGGATTCTTACTTCTTGTTGTCATTTCTCTGACGATTTTTTCTTTTTTCCATTGTTATTCGAAAGAAAATCATTCGAAGTAAATATAAATATTCTTGATGAAACAAACTTTGAAAAATAAATACATTGTTTTTTTTTCTATATAGAAAAACAATTGATCTTTTGATGAGAAATATAACAAGTGGATTATCTTTTTTTCCTTCTAATCAAACTGCAAATGTCACATTCGACTTGAATGATTCTATACTCATTGGTACAGGTCGAGCAAAATATGCCGATAAAACAATTCATTTCGATTATGAATACTGATATACAATTAAATTTTTGTTCACTTTTACTTTTTTACAGAGAATTTTTTATATTACAAAAATAATTTTCATAAACAGAAGCTATACAAAAAAACACTCATGTTCATATTGTCATCGAATCAATGCAGGTTCTTTCAATTTGTTGTTCTTGTTGTTGTTGTTGTTGTGACTGTGGACGGTTTTTTAACCACCACTGATAGACACGCAAAGACTGACCAACAATTAAACGAAGAGAATATATTAGACCTAAAGAAAAGAAAACTTTTGTGTTTTTTTTTCTTTGTAAATATATTAATTCAGTTACCAGCATATAATCCAAGAATAGTTGTTAACATAGTGAGTGGATCATTTCGATTCGGTAATGTATATTGACATTCAAATGGATGACATGTATGAAAATAAGCTGTATAATTACTTACATTTTTCCATGTCATTACAAAAAGTTGATCATTTAATTGACCTAAGGAAAGATTTGAAAATTTTGATAAACGAAATCCATCAAAAGGAAAGCAACCAGTAACAATATCTTCAGTAATTGGATCAGTGCAATTGAATGAAGTAGCACAAGTACAATTTGATGAAGAAAATCGATTTGGATAAGTTGTAATAATATGATTTTGTTCATCATCAGTATATTCAAGTTTCCAATTACTTGTAAAAACATTTAAGAAATGATTAACTTCAAATGAACGCATAATAAATGTTAATGTTCGACGATAATCTGCAGGAATTTGAGAAATAAATCTTGATACAAGAGCTTCACTTTGAATAATAAAAGAAGAATATGTCATTGTTTCAACACTAATTAATTCATGATCAGCAAATACATCTCGGGCACTTTTTATAATACGTTGAGATTGTTGACAAAATGTTGCTAATATACGATAATGAGCACTGAGTCGTCTTGAAATTCTATCTTTTTGTTTAAATAAATTAATATAATAAGAAGATTTAACATAATCACTTGAACATATCCGATGATATTCTGGTATTATAGTTAAGAATTTTGAATAACGAACAGCAGCAGTTGAACATGGACAAGATAAAGTCGAGATATTTTTCGAATAAAGATTATTAACAATATTAGATGTTGGAAATTTAATTATTACAGTTTTTGTTTCATCATTAAATGGTCCAGCATAAAGAAGAGCAACGAGAAGACTTAATAAGAATAAAAATATATAAATACGAGTCGCAATTATTTCATTGCGTTTCATTTCTTTTACTGTTGAAGATGATTTAGTAGAAAATAAATTCAATAATCGTAAAAATTGATAGATCTTCCAAAATAAACATAAATTTTTAGTTTTTACATTAGGCAAAACAAGATTATCTAAAATAAATTAATTTATATAATAAAAGATTCTCATCATATATTTACCTGTTGTTGTTTGTGAAGAATCTATATTATGTTGTCGTTTTTTCCATTGTTGTCTAATAAATCTAACCAAATGAGGTAATATTATTTCTAAAATAACACTTAATCCACTATAAAAACCAAGCATAATAGTAATCATATATGTCATATGAAATCGTCTTATTATACTATAAGTACATTGTTTTGATGCACATCTTCTATAATAAGCTGAAAAATTCTTTGATGTTCTCCAATCTTCTACAAAGAGTTGTGAAACAATTGATTCTATAGTAGTATTAGGTGTAAAACGAGTATTAGTTTTTTCAAGTGATTGAATATGAGCAGTACGATTATTCAATGGATGAAATAAGCCAACAGCGTCAAAATAATACATATCAATTAAAAGTTGAATACATTTTTGTTGATATAAACATTGAAGATTCGAAAAAAGAAGAGAATCAATTGTATAACAACCAAGAACTAATCCTGGTATAATTATTTTTGGATTAGAATCTCGATCATCAGATTGTAAATAAAATCCTTGTGAACGAATACATTGTGAAGAATAAGCACAAGAACAAGAACTATTATCAATATTTCTATAATAAAATATTGGTGACCATTTTGATGTTTTATTATTAAAATTAGGTGAAAAGCCAGCATCATTTAATAAATCAGTAATTAAACGATTTGTTTGAATTGATGAACGAATTAATTGAATAAGATTAACAAATGATGCGATTGTTTGTTGTTGAAATAATTTTAAACGTATTTTTGTTTCATCATAAAATTGTATTTCGGAAAATGTATTAAGTGTAACTAATCGACGTGATCGAAATAAACGAATTGCATTATTAACTGTTTCTTTTGATAATTTACATAAATCTCTTAAAAGACTAAAAAATGATTGACCACTAATACGAAAATCAACACCAGTAAATAATGTTGTACTTGAATTAATTTCTTTTAAATCAAAATATGATAACCAAGTTTTTTCAAGAAATTCACTTGAACATATTTGATGATATCGAGGAGATATGGACATTATTCGATTATAAGACATTGAAAAACGTGAACATGAACAAATTAATGTTGATGAATAAAGTGATTGTAATTGATTAAATTCTATTAATGTTGGATAATCAATAGTATATGTTTGTGTACGTTTCATTAAAGAAGTATAAAAACTAAGAATAATAAAACCAATCAATAAAAATAATATATAAAAACGAGTTGAAATTATTCCAACATATTGTTCTTCTAAATCATTTTCATCATCAGAACAAAATAAATTAAATGTATAAATTGTACGATGAACATGAGAAGTAACTACGAAGAAAAATTCATTTTTAATAAATATTTTCTATATATTATTTACACAAACCTTTATTGATTGGTTTAGGAGATATTTTTAAAATCATTTGTTCAATTCCTAATTGTTGTTCTTGAGGAATAGATATTTGTTTTTCTTGTTTTTTCCCTTTAATTAAATGCCAGATTTTCACAATAGCTGGTGTAATTAATTGCCAAATAATAACTAAACCACCAAAAGCACTAACACATATAGTAAATATAGTAGCAAAACGTAATCGACCTGAATAACTATAAGTAAGTGATCGAGGTGAACAAGCAGTAAAATATTGTTCATAACTAATAGTATTTTTCCATGATTCAATAAATAAAGATTTATCAAATATGGAACCAATTGTTAAATTTAATGGAAATTTTGATAAAGAAATTTTTAAAGGTTTTGGTCGAGAAATATTTAGTTGGATTGATAATATATTTATACAAGATTGTTTATAAAGACATTCAAGTGTTGATTGTCGAATAGATTCAAGTGGTAAACATCCGGCCATTAAACCTGGAATCTAAAATTGAATCAAGAATATGAAAATAATCTTTTCTTTTTCTATTTACTTTATAACGTGGTGGAGGATATGATTTAGCTGGTTTATCCAATTCAGGTAATGTCCAATTGTAAAAAGCTCCAGCTGGATAAGTACATTGATTTCCTTCTAAACGACAATCACATTCTCCTGAAAATGTTTCATTTTTTGTTAAATAAATTCCATTGTGTACGACAGAAACACCAGAAAGAACTTCTGATTCAATATAAAAGTTAGTACGCAATGCTGACATTAATCGATTTTGTGCAATACTCATTAATACTACTCGTACTGTTCGATTTTCATTTGCTACAAGATAATCTTGAAGATGACTGATTAGAACATTAGCTATTTCATTGAATTCTATACGTGAAAGAAGATAATTAGTAATTAAATGAGTAGAATTAAATGTTCGATATCCATCATATACAGCTTGATAGGCTGTATGACAAAGTAAAGCAAGAGATTGAAATTGTGCAAAAGTAAATGTACGAAAATCGAGAATATTATGTGAAGTTGCATTGAAAAGAAAAAGAGAAGATATCCATTTATCATCAACGAATGGACTTGAACAAATTTGATGAAATTTTGGTGATAATTGAATAAATTTATGATAAGGATTAGAAACATGAGTACATGGAACATTTATTGTAGTTGAATAACGAGTTTGAAGATATTCAAAATCAGAAAGAGAAAATTGTCGAAGAGTAATACTATGAGTTTGAACAATAAGACTTGCATAAATAGTGACAATTAGAAGAGATACAGAAAGAAATAAAAGAAAAAGTCGAGTACTAAGAATTTTCTCTGAATAATTCAAAATTGATGACCAAAATGGATTATTAGAAAATAAATTTAAATCACGTATAATACCAACAAGATTTACACGAGCATCAACAAATAAATTTTTCAAAGATCTATCACTCATTTGTGAATTAATTATATTTAATGAATTTTGACACAACGCTTTTAACTAAAAAGAAAAGAAGAAAAGAATAGTAGATTCTTTTTTCTAGTTGAATACATACGTGAATGGCATTAATCTAATCGAGATAAAATAAGACAATTTATTTCAGAATCCATAGAATAACGTCTCTGTCTATGTAATGATCTAAAAAGGTTCATTAATTTTTTTTCTTCTTATTTAAAAATGATGGAAGGTTACCATATGAACTCAAATGATAAAAAAAAATGAAAGAGTTCATTCCTGTCTTTATATTATTCTCTTCTAGAAGTTTTTTTTTAATTCTCATTTATATCTTTTGTCCTGTAATTATCATGAAAGGATGGATCACGTATATGCGTATAAATATCCGGAAGTGTCGACTTCTTAGTCACGGCATGAATGAAAAGAAAAAAAATTAGTATTATTCTGTAAGAGTTAGAGAATCTTCTTAATTGAGTTATTTATCTATCTTTGCTAAAATATGAAAGAATAAATAATTATATAGTTGCGTAGTCAGTTATTAAACATAATGAGTAGTTATCATTATCGTACGTTTTTTTTCTATTATATCTATTTTTTGAAATTGGTCAATGTAATTATAAATTGAAATAAACTTGCACAGTATTAATTGATGATCGAAGAAAATCATATCATCAATCAAAAAGAAACTGTGGTTTTCTAAAATATTTTTACCGTTTATATTCTGTATGAATGTGTTATTTGTAATTTGAACTAACTCGTGGATGAAAAAATAAACCATCTGTACCTAGAGTAACATGTAAACAAAAAGTTAAAATATGAGTTTCTATTGATTCGAGAATGACCACGTGATTGAGGTGAGATTGGTAGAAAATAAACAGCAAATGTTTCAAACAGCTATAGTCACAAGTCCCTTCAGAAACTTGTCTCCGTTTTTTTAATTCGACAACGCATAAGTACAACACGAACGATTGAAAGCGGAGAAACTGACTTCGAAAATGTATTAATCTCATTATCGTACGAGTTTATGGCAAATATTAACAACTGATTATTAATTCATAATTAATAATCTCAATCTGGTCTATTCAGATAATGAACGAACATACTCAAGTCATTTTTTATATGAATCTTGTTTCAGTAGAGGAAATCATCTAAAGAAGATAGAAATCAGCAAAAATGAAAAAGTTTGATAAGTATTTTTCTTTTATACTGTACTCTGGTAAACAATTGGAGAGTATGGATCCAGATAGAATTTAGATGTAGAATATGGTATTATTTTATTCATAGATCTAATTACACGCACCCTTTAAAAGATCACTGAATTTTAAAGTCAATTTCAATATACAAATTTAATGAAATAGAATATGTGAATGATAATATTTTATTAAGTATATATTAAGAATATGATTACAATTTTGAATAAGCTGCAAAGTACAATAACAAAAGCTATCTCACACAGTTCATGCGGGATTAAAGTATGGCACACAAACTATGTTGTGTTATGTTATTCATCGTTAACAACTGTCTTTCATAGCCGATTATAGTCTTTGTGTTTAATAAAAAAAGCAATGATTAAATAATTCTTTTGATATTAATAACGACAAAAGCAGAATAAATTATTTGAAAGAAATTAACTTCGACGACACCGAGTATTTAACCATGATAGAATTGATTGTGGTGTAATTCGTTTAATAAATGAGATAAAAGCTGTGTAGTAAACTTCAGATGGGAGAACGTATGCAAAAAACACTGTCATCGATGGTAAAAAACCAATTAGGTAAGGAAATAAATTTGCCAATGGCCGACGATCAAGTTTCTTACAAACAAAGATGAATGCGAACACTAGACGAGGTAGAGAAAGTATGCCTAATAGAATTGGTCCTGTTAGTATATATTTATATTTCAATATTTGTTCTTTGATACCATCTAACGAACACATAAATCGGATACCCTTATTTTTCTTGTTCTTATTTAAAGCTACGACTGTTTGATTCTTCTTTTCCTTGGGTTTCATGTTAGGACATGCAGATGATTTTTGTTTTCGATAAATAGTTCCTAGAATAATGACAATAGGACAGATCAAATTGATCGTTAATGGAATTACGAATAATAAGATACTGGTAATTGAATACAATTTATGAAGTGCTCGACGTTCAGAATTTAAAGTGAAAACACACCAGCTTCGTCCATCATATTCGTCAATGATTATTTGTCGAAAAATATATTCTGGAGAAGAAACTAAACCAAGAAATATAATCAGACCAATCGCAATCCATTTCGCTCGACATCGACTTGCTGAAGTAGAAAATGAAGTTCCTTGAATAACAGTTAATGTTCGTTCGATGGCTACGTATGCATTTAACCATTCCGAACTGATTGGCCACCATTTGAGTAGAAATTCTATTAATGCACAACTTACATTTCGTTGTTGAAAACTGATTAATGAGATTATTTTACACATAAGTACTATCATTGTCAATAATCCAAGACATGATGAAATCAACAAACTAAGTCCACAACCAACATCACGAGTTGTTCTCTGAGAAAATGTTGCAATAGCAAAAATGTTAAGAATAATTCCAATAATGCTTAAAACACAAAAAATAATTAGACTGATTTGAATGATTTTTGTTTGTTGAAAAATATTGAATGTCGTACGTATATGTGAACCAAGAATAGCATCGAGTGAAATAGAATATCCATCTGTAGAAAACTGACATATAGGCCCATAGGTACACGGTTGACAAATACAAACAGAATTACTTGGACATACTGCATGATTTTGAACACAACGACCTCGATTGCTACATGTGTTCCATGGACATCCAAACGACTTGAAATTAAAATTAAAACAATTAACATGATTGGTTTGATCACATATACACATAAGTTCATCATCATAAAAACATTGAAGTTTCTTTCCAGATATTTGATTGACACATGACTGTTGATAATATTTGACACGACGCAATCGAGGCTGAGCAATCACTGTCGCATTAAATAATTCTTCAATCGATTGACACCGATCAGATTGATTAAATGTATGATTGGCTTCTAAAAAAGACGGATCACGTATATCATTATTTACTATCAATAGATAATAATCGAATTGATCACGATGTTCATAAAGTTGCACAAAGATAAGATTGAGTGTTTCGATATTATGATACAAATATATTGTTAATTCAAATATATTTTCATGGAAACGATGAAAATGAATTTCCTGATCAGTGAACTGTTCGGTATGAATAAAGTGAACGAGTGCAATATTCGATGCTGGAATAAGAACATCTGATGAAAAGGATATATGAATACGTGGCATTGCTTTGTCGCATTGTTTTCCACCCCACTCAGTATCACATAAACATAGAAATTGTCTCTTCGGGTTTAGATAACGTTCATCGATAGGTACGCATTCTCCATGTTCACTACAACTATCAGGAGTACATGGATTAAATGAAAACATACAACGACGACCCGTGTGATTTAGAGGACATATACAAATATCTCGACCAAGATTGACATCATATCCCAGATAGAGAGAATTATTTGAACAGAATGCAGATTTATCGGTAGATATTATAGTCAGAAATTGTGTCATTGCTATGGGAATATCGGTTATAAAAAGTTCTTTCGCTATTCGATTAACCGGTAGAAAATCCAATGGTAAGAGAAATTGCCACGAAGCACGAAGTTCAAGATTTTGTGCAGTAAATGCATAAATATGTACTGAATGATTGTATGATGATGAATATGATTCATTGATCGGATATAATAAGTGAGTAATATGCATTTGTAAACAATCGTATTGTGGAGCATAAAGAAATTGTTCATGGGATAATATGACGATCGAATCATTCTTTTGACGTATTAAGAAAAGAACAATTTTGAATATTGGAATAATAGAATTAAAAGAACTTTTCATTCGTAATCGAATATGAATACTAATTCGTTTACGTTGATATTGACAATAATCACCATAGTAATGATCGGAACAAAAACAATAGAAATCAGATGGATTTCGAGCATAGCGAACCAGTAGTCCTCGATTACAAGGCTCACTTTTAAAATCATCTGACAACGATAAACTTCGTGAAACTTGTTTTTTTTCAATGTCAGAAGATTTTTCGACATAGTTTAATAAGAATGACATCCGAGGTAGACCATAATCGATCAAGTCACAGAAAAGTCTTTGTTCTTCATTTTTACAATTACCATCGGGATGTCTACAATGGCATAGATTAGCTGGACAATATAATTGTTTTCCATCGCGACATCGAAAATGATCTTGTTGGCAAAAATGTCCTTCTTGATTGTTATTGAGCCAAACACATGCTGTTATTTCATCATCATTTTCTGGACAATCTTGATGACAATCACATACTTGAAATGGAGAGATACATTGATCTGAATTGCGACATCGATATCGACGCATTATATCGTTTGGATATGTGACACGACAAAACGTTCGTTCATCTAACGATCCTACACAGTCGATAATACCATCACCAGCTTTTGTCCGTGGGAGACACATGGGATAGCCATTTGTTATATTCAAACAAAAATGACTCGAATTATCACAATCATATTTTGGAGATGTGTCATATCCACAATTGAGTTCATCTCTCCCATCAGGACAATTCCAAACTCCATTACATCTCGAATAGGATGTAGAACAACGCCATTCATTCATCGAACAATCTGTTTCATCAGTGTTGTTGAAAGCATCAGCAACATATTCGACCACGCCATTACAAATTTTAGGAAATGTTATGTTGAAAAACAAAAGCAATTCTTGAGAAGCGATATTCTTTACTGGATCCAAACCCTGTGTCTCCCAAAAATATCTTTCATATTCGTCACTTTTGTCAGCACAATGAATCTATAATAAATTGTAATATCTCATCACATTCCTCAAAATTTCTATAGCGATTACATCAGCATCCTTTTCTATCAACAACCTTGGATGGGTATGAGTATGGTATTATTCTACTCACACCCACACCCATCCATCTAAGATATCTCAAAGAAGATTGATCAAGAAATACTACAAATACTAAAGACTTACAGTATCATCAAGACGAAGAGTTGAATGTATACAACGTGTACCATTATCACAAGAATATCGATGAGAAATATTGAGTGAACATGTGTTCTCCTGACGTTCATCTTCGCCATTGGAACAATCTTTACAACCATCCGATAGACGATGAAATGAGAAACATTTACTTTTGTCATTACATTTAAATAGTGAACAATTATTTGATAAATCTTTTTGAGCCGGTATTGAACACGAGAGAATAAAACTCTTGAAATCTTTGATCATATCATATAATTCCGAATAAGTTCGATTTGTAAATGTAGTAAATGCTCGACATACCGAGCCATTGAATGTAAATGTTTCAAATAGAAGATGTTTATTCAAAGATAGATATGGACATAATGTTTCATTATAACATATCCATTTTGGTTGAATGTTATCATAAATTAAGAATACATGTGAAAATAAGATGAATTTTGATGATGGCATTTGTTCTAAATAAAGACGATCACGTTTTGAATTACATTTTTCACCTGAATCAACATTTGGCCCATCATAGCAATAGCCATCACCACATGAAAACCACATCGATGGGCATATTCGATCTTCGCAATTACTTTGAGATAAAGGAAAACAGTCTCTCTTATTTGTTTCAAGTCTTTCGTCAGATTCATCCATACAATCGAACTCGTTATCCAAAACAAATATTTTATCAATACATTGCCCATTGAGACAACGGTATTCCGTTTCTTGATTACATTCATTTATTTCCAATTCATGACAACGATGTTCATCGATTCCATTCTTGCAATCCATTTTGCCTATAATCATAACAATCGAAGTGCATTGTTTCCTCGTATGCAAATCCACAAATCTCTATTTTATTTTCATCAGAAGTAATCAAACAATAAGACGGGTGTGGGTGTGGGTGTGGGTGTGGTTATAAGTGTAAGTGGGTGTGAATAGATCTGAAAAAAGCGACACCCAGATCCACATTCTCCTAGTCCCCATAGACCTCATAGATCCCTAGTCTCCATAGACTCCCTAGTACCTCTACCTCTCCTAGACCTTCTAGTCCCCCTAGTTCCCGTAGTCCTCATAGATCCCCCCGATCTTCTAGTTCTCCTAGTCCTCGTAGATTCCGTAGCCCTCATAGATCCCCTAGTACTTCTAGCTTCCCTAGACCTCCTAGTCCCGTAGATCCCCTATCGGATTGAAATTAAAACGTTCATTGTATGGGATGAATTTGAATGTATATAGATACTCTACTCATTCACATCTTCGTTTTCAATAAAATCTTAGTTAAATGATAACTTACCGTCGCAGATTTCTCGCCAGTCCAAACAGAGAATGGATTCACATATTCCATCGTTCATTGGATAACATGTATTATGTGCTACTGTGAAAAGAAATTTGTCGTTGAGGATATCTGCCAAATCTTTCTTCGAACCGAATGTATACTGACACCATGGTCCGAACCAGTAGTTACCCTTCGTTTGTGAACAGTTGTAGAAAGAGCTTGTATTTTTACCTGATATATATTCTTCTATAGTATCCATTGGTGCATACCAGTCGTACAGTTGTTCAGCTGAAACACCCATTTCACGTAGGCTACTGAAGGCAAATTCTTCTCCATGCACTACTTGATTATGAGACGGTTTGATTAATTCACTGATTTTTGCGATTGTTCGACGACAGTAATGCATCATCTGAGCGCGCCCACTTGTGCCCCAATCATGATCTCCTTCATTTGAAAAACTGTTATGGATATGTAAGTTGTATAGACAATGAAAAGCATGAATAGTGGTATTCATCGTATCCCATGTCGTTTCGTACATTCGATGAAAAGCATTACTCGTATGATAAAGAAGTAAAATCGTAAGCAGAAAATGGGAGAATCGCATTGCTTTACTTGGAAAAATACTGAATATGTCTGTGTCGAGAAGAAGAAACAAAGTTTTACAAAGATATTTATCATAACGGAACTGATAAAAAACGGCAAAAAGTGTGCACACAGTCAAACACATAGATATTCATGATATTTAGATGGAAAAAAATTGAGACAGATGTGATTAAAATAGTGTTAGTGAGTGTATCATGCATGCTC